GAGAAGGGTGGCGACGAAGGGGAAGCCGGCCGCCATAGCCAAACCGGAGTTGACTGGGAGTTGACCGGGCGTTGACCGGAGGGCATTGCCCGGAGTTGACCAGGGTGTTGATCGGACGTTGATCGGAGTTGACCAGGGCGTTGACCAGGTGTTGACTGGGTGTTGACTGGGTGTTGACCGGGTGTTGATCTGGTGTTGATCGGGAGTTGACCAGGAGTTGACTGCAGCGTTGACGAAGACTGTTGACCACGAATTTGACCAAGCTGGAGCCGGTATAATCTCGCCAAGCCTTCAGCCTATCCCCTCGCCCTACGGATGTGCACACACCCTGTGGTACTTGCTGAGTCAAGTCTGTGTGTCTCTTCTTTTTGCATTGAGTCTCTTTTGTCTAGGTGATAGGACTCTGTGGATGAAGGATAGGGCCTTGTTGACCAAACCCACACGGGCTGAGTAGGGCTAAAGACTGTGTCTGACGACTCGACTGTCCCGGAGGACACGAACCCTCCCAAGGACCGGTACTGACCGGCGGGCTGCTCGGTGTGGCACGGTAGGCCCGAAATCCGAGCTGTGGGCTGCACAACAGGCCATCTAAGTCTTGAGAGGACGTGCGGATCGCGTCGTCCTGTCTGCGACGTTAAAGAATTCCTGAGGAGTTACGGGGGATCTCCTTAAATGCCTCCTGATCAGCAACAAGTCATGTAGTGACAACCATAGTTTAGGTCCAGGCTAGTGACCCTAGTTGACAAGATCCTGTCTGGATTCTGTGGTCCTTAGATTGAGTCATTAGGTCGTGTCAGTCAGGCGGTAGAGTCTAAGTGGAGGATGAGATGTTAAGATTACAGCAGGAGGAAGAAGAGAAAAGAAGGGCTGCCGAAGAAGAAGCAGCAGCAGCAGCAGCAGAGGAGGAGGAAGTAGAAGAAGAACCCCTCGAGAGGAGGTGTGGGGGAGAGAGAGGAGAAACTAGTGGCACGAAGGCAGAGGATAAGCGGATGGAAAAGAAGATCAGTGAGTGGGTAGCTAATTTATCATTGGGAGAAGACGAAGAGGCAATGTTGTACGTGCCTGAGGAGGAGAAAAAAGCATTTGCCAAGGAGCTGGAAGCTAAGGAGGACCCCCTGAAACGCCAGACGATGGTAGACGAGAAGAGATTGGAGTGGAAGTTGCGTCTGGCAAGGGAAACGAAGAGGAGGAGGGAGGAGGCCAACTGGATGGCCAAAGAAGTGGAGAAGTTTCAGGTGTGTAGGCGGGAAGCGCAAGCGCAAGAAGAAACCCCTGCCAAATTAGATAAGATTCTGGGCTATCTTGAGATTCTGAGTCAGGCCTGGCATGAGGAACATCAAGCCAATAAAGGTCAGGAAGTGATCCTCCACTCCATCTCGACCGACTTTAGAGAGTTTGCACGCAACGTGGTGACCCACGTCGGAACCGAGGTCAAGAGATTGAAGGAAGGCGCAAAGAAGTTTTGCGCAGGTGCCATTGAAGGCGCCAAAGTAGTGGCCGAAGTTGAAGCGCGTCCCCGCAAAGAGCTCGTAAAGCTCAAATTTCCTGACTCGTATAGCAGGAAAAAGGACGATAGTTTTGATAACTGGGAGGCCAGCATCAACTCATGTTTGTATCTACAGCATATCGCCCCCGAGGAACAAGGCCTCGTAGCCTTCCATGCATTGAAAGATGACGCGACCAGTTTTGCCAGGCCCCTTGCGCGCGCAGCCGATTGTGAAAACAATATGGTTGCACTCTAGGCTCACCCCGCTTTCCACTGTCTTCAAACTCCTGCAACAGAGGTTCGCGGACGTCACAAGGGGCGTCCGAGCCTCTGACAAGCTCCAGACCATCCACTCACGACAGTGGAGGAGTGCGCGAGCAGTCAAAGCTGTCATGGACGACTTGGTGGCCGTCCCAGACTACGGGGTCACTAAGACCCAGTTGGTCCAGTTATTTTATCGTGTTCCCGAGCCCCGGCGAGGGCATTTCTTTGATAAGACCCAACAGGCCAATATGACGTACGATGCATTAAGTAGAGAAGTGGTCCTGTTTG